TCTGTCTTCTTCTCCACATGCAGCAGCTGATAGCTGGATTTCTGCCAGCACTCACGAGGGAGGTATTCAAGCCTCTCTCGGCCCCATCGCCTCCAACCGAGGGGTCTTCCGTGGGCTTCGTAACCCCAGACAAGGTCGTATCACCACGTCATATCACGAAGACACAGGGGGTCTTCGTGACGGTCTGGTATCTCCAGGAGACTCAGCTCCTTGCAGGGCCTCTGTGCCCTGTCTCTCAGGCTGCCACCGTGGCAGCAGTGCAAGGGGGGGGAGCCAAGGTCAACTCCCCCCACATTCCTCTGGCCGTCCCGGTCCAGCTCCGGGACGCTCTGAGCTTCTCAGCTCCTCTCTCTCTCTGGTGCTGCATGTCTAAAACTCTTCTCCTTAATAGGAGTCCATCTCCCTCTTTTCTCAGAGGGATCTCAAAGGAGTTTTGGGGGGCTGGTACAGTCTTACCCCCAGAACTCTGTCTCTCAGCTGCTGGCTCTCTTTCTCCCGGCTCTCCTTCCAGGAGTCCTTTCTCTGGTGCTGCATGTTGTTTCTGCTGCTCCTTCAGTTCAGGTGTTATCTATCCTGGCTCTCTGCCACCGTTTCTCTGGTCAGCGCTGGCTGCTGCTCTGTGCCCATGGAGAAAACATCTCCCGGCATAACTACAGGCACCTAGCCCAGCTTTATGCTGTTCCAGGTCCCTGCAGCCCCCCCCAGCCAGGGGCTGGGAGGCCCCAGAGGGCCCAAGGGGCTCAGAGCCCCTTCCTCGTGGCTCACAACATGGCCACCTCTCCTGCAACAACCCAAACTACAACTCATCTTTTCCGGTGAGCTTGTGGGATGTTGACATTTTTGCAGGAGCGCCCATTGGACAGAACTCCAAAACTTCCAGGGGTTTCCACCCCTTGGGGTCTACCACTTTTCTAGCCTCTGGGGGAAAACAAGATTCAAACCATGACAGGTACTGAAAGATTCTATATTTTAGCAGAGAAATGGAAAGCAGAAAGCAGTGACTGGAAGCTGAAACTAGAAAGGGTCAAAGTAGACATTAGGTAAAATTTTTTAAAGTGATTTTGAAGGGCCATTAAAGTACTGTACTAGAGGTATGTGTGCATCTTTCCTCGCCTGATATCTTTAATCTAAACGTGAATATTTGTTTTGGAAGACACACTTTGGCCAAACCATAGGCTGTCTTCAGTACAACTAATAGTGATAATTATGGTAGTGAAGACATGACCATTCACATTTTGACAGGGATTGCAGAAGGCTAGTAAGAAATCTGGGTATGTACTTGGGCTTATACAGAAGTCCCTAGCAGTGCACCTACAGTGCTGCCAATTAAACACTGTCTATGACTACCTTGCTGCAACCTTGCCTGCATTCTACTGTATAGACACATGGGAGGAGGTAAGGTTGAAAAAGAAAAGGAATATCTCAGTTGAGAAGTAACTTTAAAATAACAGTAGGGAGCTCAAGCTTGAAGCTTTTTGTAAGGAATGGGAGTATTTTTTTGAAGTTGGAAGAAAGATAATTTTAACAGTAATATTTTATAAGCAGTATAGGGAGATATTATCAGAGATCAAAGAAAAGGCATTTGCAGTAGGCAAGGGAGAGAATGAGAGCTGTGGTGCTTAATCCAAGGGAAAACAGTTCTTTGAAATATTGTGAAAAAGGAAATGGCAAAATGTTATTTCCAAAAAACCGACCAGCATAGCATGGAAGTGAAAAACTCATTTTTCTTTCATCCAAAAAAAAAAAAAAGCTACATTCTGCTCCCACTTTCAAACTTAGAACACTATAAATTGGCCAGTCAGTAATAACTGAGACTGCAGCTTGGTTTTACCACCCTAGTTTTTATTCAGCAGCACTACAGATGTCATCTATGGGGCTTGAATTCCATAGAACTGACCAGAGTTTGGTCTGATTTTACCTTTTGTTTGAATAATCATAATGATAGGAGGATTTTTAAAACAAGATCTGAATCCCTGTTGAGGTTTTTAATACCTCCTATTGTGAGGTCACTTGGATTTAGGATTTCTGCTTGGGTCTATCTCATACATTTTTACAGATATTCAAAAGCCTGTAATAGCCCACACACAGGTTATATTAATTTCCAGTGCCTAAATCCCTTAAGTGCTTTGGGGATTTCCCTGCTAATCCTCTTTTTAATGCATAAACCTAGAGGGTAGGTTTGAACCTTTGGGATTTATTCTTTGTGTTGGTTGTTTTCCAAGTGAAGAATCTTTCAAGGGTAACAACAGTAAGTGCTAAATACACAAAGACATAGAAAGTTTATGTACTGTTTATATTATCACAGCAATCTGCCAGTCTTTTTTTGGCACAAGAAGGAAAAGAAAGTGTGACTATTATTAGTAATTATGCTACTTATAGTAACTTTAAACACTTATTAATATTAAATTTATGCAAAAGTATTAAATCCTGACTGAACAACTCAAATCCTTTCCTTTCCAAGGGCAAAATAACAGTATTAATATTAATGAAGCCACAAAATACAAGCTAACTGACAGCATTTTTGCAGTTGCTGTATTTTGTTACTGAAAATGTATTATATTTTTCATGTCTGAATGTAAAAAACAAATAAAACTATCACAAATTGCTCTTTGTTTTAAGTGACATGCCTTTTCTTTATGATGCATGCTTTGCCATAAAAAGGGTGTACTTAATGCATTTCTGTTGGGAGATGCCTATTTATTCTGACAAACCGATCAGCCTCCAGGGTGTTCTTTTGCCACAGAACTGATTTTACATCTCATCCATTATCTAATAAGATGTGAAAAGAGTATCCTGTCTTACAAAAAATTCAGGCTTTGTTTCATTACAAGGATGTGGCAGGCTCACTCATAGACTTACTTGCAGGATATACAATTGTTAGTGAAAGGCCCAGTTATACAATAATGCATATTTCCAGCAAGCCTGTGGGGAAAACATTGGTAACATTGGTCCTGAGGATAATTTATTTCAAAGGTAAGTATAAAATGTGGACTCTCTAATAAGAAAGTGCATTTCACATCTTAAATAGTACTGCATGAATTTATGAATTTCATTATTATAATAAACAGCGATGCCTCAAACTAAATTGTGAAGCAGCCTGAATGTCTTTGCAAAATATATGCCCTGGGTTTTGTTTTTTCTTTCTTCATTATATCCCTGTTTTTGTTGTTTATGAAGAGTTTAAAATTGCACTTGTGAGAGAGATTGGAGTGAGGAAAGCAAGCTGAGGCATTGTGTGATAAACGCAGTGATAATACAAATATATACAAAACCCTATCAAACAAATGTTGTCAGTCAGATGTGTTTGTAAGGAGGAAAAGTCACAAAGGAAAAAGAGAATAGGATACACGGTAGGAAATACAGGTAAACCTAGGCATAACATTAAATGTTAAGGAATAACAAGTCTTTAAGATCTTAAGTGTCCAGGCAGAGTACCTCTCTATGTGTGTTTGTGCAGTGCTTAACATGCCTGAATTTTTTGACCAGTAATGCACTGCAAATCATCGTTGTATTTAAATGATGCTCTATTACAGTAATGCAGCCTCTCATACAACATATATTGCAAAAAAGTGCCTCCATTGTGAAGCTGTTTGCTAACCACAAGTGAATTAACAAATCAGTGTTGGCTGAAGTAAAACAAAACATTTTAGATCATTGACAGAATAGTGGAGAGAAATGACAAAAAAGCAAACAGATGATTAGGTTTGATATCTGTGGAAGTTACAACACTCACTGCACTCCTCCGCTGCAAATTTCTCTGACTTTCTGAATAACAGGATCAATCCTTTTGGACTTGAACAGTACTTCTTTTTATAAAGTGCAGTTTCTTTAGCATGACAATGAAATATGATTTTCAGTGCTTCTTAGGAAAGTGAAAATACAGCTCGAAAGAGTTCAAAGTGAAATTGCAAAAGCTGGAATTTGTGGCAGATAAATGTTCTAGTGTCATGTCCTCCTGATATCCTTTATTCAGTACATGTGAATGTAGCTCTGTATGTAAAAATCAAGGCTGTTTTATCAGTCTTGCTTATAATGCCAGTCAGAATGTCTTCCTGCTGAGAGATCTTTCAGAGTTTGGAGTTGCATCTAGACAGCACATCTTTAAAACAGCATAAGAGAGACCCATTTTATATTATTGACTTTTCCCCTTACCTGCAAGGACACAGAATTTAATGTAGCATTGATGGGTTGAAGATTTTGACACATGTCAAGACAGATATCTTCATTTTAGAGTTTAAAGAAAAGGCATTACACTTGGTAAATATGAACCACTGTAGGTGGCAGAGGCAGCTCAGACTGAAGTAGGGACAATTGTTTCACTCATCTGCAAAAGACATTACTTTTCAATGAAACTTTAGGTAAGGAACGTTATTTAAGAATGTTATTTAAGAAAGATGAAACCAGAACCATTGCCAGAAATGCAATAGGGGTCTAGAGGTAAACCCCATGTTAAGTAACCTATCATTGTGTCCTTTCTATACATTTTTTTAACCATTCTATAAAAGTCTATGGCAAGGATATAATTTCCTAGAATATGGCCTTTATAAGATGGTCACCACCTAGTAAAGTCAGCAATAGTTTTCCATGGAGAATGCATTTTATTCAGAACAATGAATAGACTATTTCTGTTAGCAAACCCTATAAAGCAGAACTGCTTGTTTCAGCCATCAACCTTCTTGTATAAACAGATTTCACTGCAGTAGAAACACAGCCATAAGTACCTAGTATGACTTTATGTCCCTAAATGAACCATATAGCAAAATCTCATTTTTAATAATGGCATTTATGTTACTTCACCAATGAAATGTATAATAATAACAGCAAAATTGTTGTGTTAATGATCAGAGTGTATAATAAGATGCAAAATTAGTAGGATTATGGGAATTTAATGGGATGAGAAGGGCAAGGGATCATCTGCTATATGACTCTTCATGATTGTAACCTGCTGTCTTTATCCCTAGCATGTTTTTATGACTGGTGCACTTTGGTTTGTTTCCCAGTTTGTGTTCTGCCGTGAATGTAAAGAAGAATACCATGAAGGGGAATGCGACTCTCTCCTCAACCCACAGGGAGCCGTGGCCCAGAAGGTAGGGCTCTCACAATTCCTGATCATTATCCCTGGCCCAGCTAGAGTGACCTTTGTCAAATGGGTGCTAATTAAAATCCTAAGTAAAAGCAATTATGTTCATGCTGAATTACTCCAGCCATCAGAGTTACCGAATTGGCTCTGCAGTGGATTTCAGTCGCTTTGATTGATAGAGTAGCTGAGTTCTGTCAGAAACACACAGGGCTCTGCCATCCGTTGATAAAGAAAAGGCCTTCCCAATGGGTTTTTTTAGGGTTGCCTCTATTCAATGTGAACACTTTTGAAAGGCTTTCTGTAGTCTTGCTGCCTTTCAGCTTATTTTCAGTGCACCAGTCAGGAAATCATGTGAGTTTGGACTGAATAACAAGACTTTTATACAGCCTATGCAAAAAATGCTGTTGATAATTTATGTTTTAGTTTAAAGAAATAAAAAATGGATTGTCTAGGCTGGAAGCTGCTAGATGATAATTATTCTATGCTGCTCTATAATTTTGTAGCTATTGTAGCTATAGACCTGGACAGGAAATAGTATTTCTCCCCGGGTATTTCTCTACAGTTGAGATTCAAGTTTCCTTTAAAATAAATAAATCACATAAACCACAGTCTTTCCAATATTAAAAAAAAAAAAAAAAAAAAAAAAAAAAGAGAGAGAAAGAACAGGAAAACAGGAAGGGCATCCCGTAAATATCTCACAGCTTGATGCCCAGGGTGCACTCCTAGGAAGCAGAAAACTGGTATTCAGATGTCTTGGCATGTTTGATGCTAAGGGGGAACTCAAATCCTGGGTCCCCACAGAGTCGAGTGTGGCAGATAGATAATTGTGGGCAGGTGCTGATGAAGACCTGCATCCAGCCAGCTCTCGGTGAGGATCGCCAAGCTCCTGTCAGTGCCTGCAGGTAGGCTCTGTTTGAGGCTAGCTTTTGGGGACTCTCACTGTTTGAACATAGAGACTGGGAGGGAGCTGAAGTTCTACTGGGAAGCTTTGCCATATGCTACCTGGAGATGGTTCATATGCCATACTTTGCAGACATTGCACTAGACATTACACTACCTGTGTAAAGATTCTTCTCTTTCTTAGTGAAGCTCTTCTAATTTATGGAAGGAATTAGCACTGGCTGAGACAGAATTAAACAGCCTGAACCCTAGTAGTCAGACAGGGTATCTACCTCTGTTGCACTGAAACATGTACTGTATGAGACCCAAAAATCCATCTACTTTGTCAGCCTCTAGTAATTTTTATCTTTAGCAGCTATCAGCAATTTTTTCCCATGAATTTGTGCAACCCCTTTCTTTGAAGCCATATATATACAAGATTTGCAGCTTAACTGTCCTCTATGAAGAACAGTTTCATTTTATTTGCAGAAACCTTAGAGCAGTCTTCCAGTTACCATTCACATTTATAGAAAAACAAAGCAACTTCAACAGAGAAATTGAGAGACACTTAAAACATCCAATAGCCTAGTAAAGTAGGAGACTGACTCAGTGTCTTACCTTAATTAAATTTAGCTAGAACTTGAATACATCTCAACATGAACTGTGAGCCCTATATTCATTAAGTTATTTATGCCTAGAGTTTTACCTAGAGTACTGAAAGTTGACATGGCATGTTACAAATGAGTTCAACAACGTTGGCTCTGTGAAAGTTAGAGTTCATATAATTCCTGTGTTCTAGGGCAGAGATAAAGGTGTGCCAGGAAAAATCAGAATACCATAAGAAGCAGTGGTTTATTTTAAATATTTTAATATTGCCCTAGCTTTTCCTTGTAACAATGGGAGAACTTCATCCATCTGATCCATTCTCTCAGCACATGAATTGCATCCAATTAGACCTGTTAACTTAGGAATGTTGACTACTTTTGCGGTTCCAATGAATGTGAACATTTTTGATCTTCCTGAAAAATTTCCTGTACTCTCGAAGAGCTGTTTCAGAATAGCTAAATGATAGTACCAGAATAACTCTTGCATCTGTGCAGATCGGTTCCCCTGTATAGACAAAACCACAGACTATGCAAAATTGATTTAGGCTCCAACTTAAGCTGAAGTTAATTGACAGGTCGGCCTTCAATTTTCCCCGCAAGAAACTAAGAGAGCTGCACTAATTAAACTTCTCCACGAGGTGGTGCTGTGCCGCTGTGCCACTGTTTTCCCTCCCTTTCCTTAGCCAGGCGAGCAAAGCGAGAGGTAACCGATAGAGGGCAAGCCCAGGTACTGGTGAGATGCTGGTTTCACCCAAACAGCATCGCTACAGAGCTCCCCTGCCCACAGCACCTCCATACAGTGCATACAAACCATTCGTGGGGCATATGGAGTGCAGTGCATGTGGGACAGTTTCCATCTCTCTCACTGAGATTAATGTAAATGTTTATCCACCTCTGCTTTCAGGCTGTCTGTTCTGTTTGGCCTTTTCATGCTAGGTGTGTAAGTCTGTGTGTCAGACCTAACTTGCTGTTATTGTGCTGCTTGCTGAAGCAGTGAGCAGGATTTTTTTTATTTGTGACCATCATCTGTTTCAAGGTAGGAATAATACACTTCCAGGGTTGTCTCTAGCTCATGCAGTTTGACTCCTGTCTGGATCCATATAATTTATTTTATAACTTTTGTTTATTGCCACAACCCTTACCATTCAGATTTAAGAATCAACCAGACACACTGCAACTAAACTTTTCCTCTCCAGAACAGGTGCAGGATACGTGATCGGTCTCGGGGAAATACTCTCCATGTATGGTCTGTCAGGGCAGTGCCTGAGGACAGAGATGGGCCAAAATGGTGGGTGGTGCATCCACAGGGGTCCATGACTGGCTGGGCAGGGATGTGGGGAGCTGGAGGCAGTGTCATCATGGCGCAGCTATGAGGGTCCAGGAAACATAAATGGTGGTGGTGAAATGGGCCTGTGCTTGGGCAGATATGAGAAATAGTGAAGAGGAAGCCTGAGGTCAAGAGAGGGGAATGGATCTGGAGAGACTGTGAAGTGGGGGAGAACAATAGGGAAAGGGGAATGGAGTCAGTTGGCAGGAGGAAGAGGGCAACTGCAGCTGCAGGGTATGGGAGGGACAAAGCAGGTGCCGCATGTGGTGCTTCGAAAAGCTAGTCAAAATAAAGGATTTGGAACCATATAATGGTGGGAAGCTAAAGGGCATTGTTTGCTGCGTGGGGTAGAAGAGGCAAACTCGGCAGCTGGCATGCAGAGAGCAGCTCAGCTTTAACTGCTGGTGTATCACGACCTTGTATCATACACCTACTGGTGTATCAGACCAGATCTGTGCACAGATATTGCTGATGATTTCCCATCTTAGTATGTAAGTTACATTATTTCAGCAAAAATAAAATTTAGCTGTGGCAACTTCATTTGAGAAGCTTTGTTTTAAAACCATTGCAGCCTCTTGGAGCTGTTTGAACTTTGGGATGTCAGAAGGAATCATATTGGATTAATTAAAAGGCACAGTGTGCATGGTGGAATCAATGACACAGTAAAGGTGACTCCAGCCAGATTTAGGTTTAGAAATAACTACATAGTCCCTGCTATGTACGTGACATAACCAGGCTTCCTGGCCCCTTTTAACCTCACACATAGACAATCTATGCTGATGGGGAATCTACTCATAAACCAGCTTCCTCTGTAAGTCCCCACCTTAAAATTAGCTTTCATAGAGCAAAATCTTTCTAGTTGGTTTTCTTTGTACAAGGATACGCCATGCACCTTCTTGCTCCCTAGCACCTGGACAATAAAAGGTGACCACATATCAGATTTGAACTTTTTCAGAGTAGCTTCCAGGATGATTTTGGTGCTGGGCATGTTGATAAGACACCTGCAATGTAAACTGTAATAGCAATACCAATGACTCTGGTGTAAAAGTGGTGCATATATAAATAAGTTAATAGAATATGGGGCAATGAGTCATAAATATTTTGGGGGGAAAAAAGTGACACAAACTGGGTGAAATGTGTTATAAAAAGAACCGTTTTAGAAACGGTTCTGTGGACAAACTTTCTCCAAGAAGCAGCTGATTACATTGTCCTACCAAGTCAGTGAGTGTGTAATTGTAAAAACGTAAGAGCTTTTTAGCAACTTTGCTTTTTCAGAATTTGCTGTGAATTTAGTAAAGAGAATAAATTAAACATCATGATATATATTTCTAGTTACAGCTGTACACAAATCCCTCCTATAACCTGCATTCAAAGGTTGAACCTAAAAGAATATCTTATGTCTTATTCCATAAACCCGGTCTAGCAGTCTTTGTAGGAAACCCGAACATAAATCTAGTTCATCTCATTTGAACAAACTCCACTATTACTGCTAGGCCAACAACAGCTGTAAACCCAAGCCTAGATAAAACATCCAGTCTGGGATGGGCTGGCATAGTGAATCCTTTACCAGGATTTTTATTGAGCCACAAAGCTATGGGTTCAAAGCCATTCATCTCTTTCAGTGTAAGTTTGTAGCTACTGCTGTAAAACTTCACTTCAACTCCACTCTTAACCTGTGGGACACTGCCTGTCCTGGGTGTAGCCATAAGCTAGAGGCCTTGGTCACCCAAATCCCAAAGCCTGTCCCCAAACCCACCAACATCAAATCAAACTTCGACTGTTTGTTGTTTTGTTACTGAGCCATCACAGTCCTCAGGTAGCTAATGTAGGATCCAGACAGTAGCTTTGCTGTTCTGCAACTGGCAGTATAAAGCTTATCCAGAGCCCCTGTCAGCCCGGGAACCCACCAGATCTAACCAAATGCAGTGCAGTCAGTGCCTCAGCTGAGTCAGGGCAAACCTGATCCTATTCATCAGCACATGCTTCCTGGGCTCCTTGGCTGCACCCCTAACCAGAGTTTCTGGGCTCAAACCAACACGGGCATGATATCTCAGGCAAACAATTGGCTCCGAAGCACACACATTTGATCACTTCCCAGAAATGTTTTTTGTTGCACCGGTGCAACATGGCACATCCATGTGCATGCACACATCCAGGAAAACCTGTCACGTCACCTGGCACCCTGCTGAAGTCTGT